CGAGAGGAGCCAAAGCTCCTCATACGGCCATCATCATGAGACATGTAGTGTTCCCACCACCAAAGACACGGACAAGGCAGTACCAGTACGGTCCCTGCCAAGCCTGAACCTACCACCGAATAAACGATGGCTCTAGTCAATGTGAAGACTGATTATTTGCTCTGCAGGTCAAAACTGTCTAGACACAAGTCGAGCCAGTGGTCTAGAAGAACCCCCATAAATGGTCTCCTCCCATAAATCGTCGGTTCCGGAAATTCCACCGAGTCGAACCACAAAGTTAGTTGTCCAGCATCTGTTAGCCTATGCCAACCAGTCTATGTCTAGCCTATGCCGGCATACACCTGCCCCTTGGTCAAACGCTGCCTTTCCTGCCTTTCCTCACTGCTTACGACGGTCTCCCGCGCACGGTTCTCGCCGGTTCTAGACATTCGTCCTCTGGGACAGGTGCCGGTAGTTCGTTCCTAAGATCATATACCAGGTCTCCTCCCGCCAGCGGTCGGTTCTGGATATCTGTCCTCGGGTCCGATCACCACTCGCCAGGTTAAACATATATCGATACTACGAAAAAAAGTAAGAGGGGAAATACCAGGTGAATGTTTTCCAAATAAAATGAAAAGTGAAGGATCTTCTCTTTATGCATTCACAGATAGAATGACTCTCGTTTCATATGTACCTCAAAAATTAAAAAGTGTTATTCTCATTTCTGCAATGCGTCAATGGAAATCAGAAGACCTTGATGCTAAAAAACTAGAAATAATAACATTTTATAATGTGACTAAGGAAGGTATAGATGCATTGGATGAAAAATGTTCTAAAAATTCTACAAGCCGAAGAAGAAGGCATGAGCAATGGCCAAGATTACTTGATGTAAGTGGAATTAATGCACATGCAATACATCAATCGTTAAGAAATAGTGTCAGATTGGAAAAACACGAATTTTTGATGGAGTTATCATTAGAATTAGTGAAACCACGTATGGAACGGAGTGTTCAAACGCCAACTGTGAACCAAGAAATAAAAATGTGCATTCAGAGAGTGCTAGGAATTTTCTGCGGATTCGTTTCTAGCCCAGATGTAAGTGATACCCCTAAGAAGCGTAAACCGTGCTTTTTTTGTCCCGCCTAGACTGAGGAGAAAAACTACCTATCTATATTTCAGCTTCAAGAATCCAATATGTAATGAATGGGCCAAGAGAACTTACAAAAATTGCGTTGATAATGCTTAAAATAATTTGCTGGAGTTTTTTTTAATAATCTTTATATATTATCCTTTTTTGTATTATTTTATATAATCCAGACTCTGTAGATGGAAAATTTATTAAGTAATTTAGTTTATACGCATTTGCAAGCAAGTAGTGTTTATTTTATTTATTTGATTAAGTGTTCCGTACTTTTTCATATGTGATTAAAAATTAAATTTTAATGCATAATATTAGAGTTTTAAAAAGAATAATTTACTTCAATATAACAAGCAAAGTGTATTAATGATTATATTATAAAAACTAGTACATTATTTTTAAATTTTATATTTTTAAAATACATAAAATAGAGCGCGGTCTGAGAGACCCCTCCTCTGTGTTTACGTAACAGGAAATGAACGTCTGCACTTAAGGGTCTGTACTTAAGATAGCGTCCTCGTAAAACGTGTTTAGAGTTGCCAGAAAATGACAAAAAAGATAGGGTTGCCATATTTTGCGCGAAATCGCCCATTTGGCACGGCGATATGCCATAGACGGATCGAGAACATTTTGGAACGAATTCTCACCGGTTTGGCCCAGTGGCAGGCCAAAAAAAGCTATATAAACCAAGAATAGAAGGAGGGAGGGGCGCGGTTTCCTCCGCTATTGGGGAATGAAGCTCCACCGAACAAGCGGCGTCCATGTTTGTAACTTCAAAACATTGCATTACGGCAGTGAAACGTACATGTTTCTAAGCTGTTCTGTGCATGTAATTTGCAGTAAAAATATGTTAAATTTATAATGAAATGCTTCGCTATTGTTAAACTTTTGTTTTAAAGTAATAAAGATGATATCCATAATTACTATGAAAACAGAAATTATTAAGAAATAGTTCGAAATCTAAGTGCATGTGTATAACATTAAATCCTTTAAAAATGATGTTTCTGCATATTTCAGGGATCTGTTTAGGTCTTTTTAGCAACCTGTTGGGTGTACTTTTCCAGTGTTTCCTTTAAGAAGTGATATTTCTAATTTATTCACAATATTATCATAAATTATTAAAGAATTATTTCATACACAGTTTAAGAGATAGAAAAGAAAGTTATTTTATTTTAGTATGCTTAAATACTTCAGATTTAAGCTGAAATACACTAAAACAGAAATTCACATATTTAAGCAATAATTATCTAAAAAATAGTCACAGGTTGCATTTTCTTAAGATGAAAGTTTTAAATACATCCTTGTCAGAGCCAACAACAAGAAAATAAATATTAATAAAATAAAACAGATTTATGTGAACTTAATGATATCAGTTTATCCGTGTTTCATATTTATGAATCTCATTGAAATTGCCTTGAATGAAGCTGAATTACAGAAAATATACCTATATAAATTCTTGAATACGTCTTTCCACATGTTCAGTTGTGTTAATATTTTACTTACTTTTATCGCTATACTGCCCAGAAATTCGTAAGTTTATGCAAACAATTTTTAACAACATAACAGTATATCTTCATCAAATGCACAAATTATATTCATAATAGTTCACGAAACTTAAAAATGAATAATAATTAATATATAAATAAAAGTATTACTTTATTTAACACCTTTGCGATTCATAAAAATAGTAACAATTGATTTCTTGAATTCCATGAAAATTATAAAACGAATTACCTAAAACGTTCAAATTATACAATTTAAATCCTAGCATATATCACTGTATGTTAAGGAACGAAGATAACAGCTATAAGCAGAAACATTAAGATGTATTTAACATATGCGGATTATTATGAAGTCCTTTTTTTTTTCAAATCTGGAAAGAAACAACATGACGTTGTGATATTTTTTAACATATTTATCAAATTACATAAAAAAAGGAAATCAATACGTACGCCTGAAAAGTAATCCCAGAAATATTTTACGAAAATCTATTTGTGCATCCATATGCAACACAATCTGACCTGCTTCAAAAAAGAAATGAAAAAAAAAAATGTCGCAATTACAGACTTCCTTGCACAAGTCACAGCGATATAACATGGCCGCCATGTTTCACCGTGTGAGTTGAACCTTCCTTCCTTCTATTCTAACCTCCTTGATATAAACCATGCCCTGTACGCGGAGTAGCAGTCTATTGTCGAGTGGATAGCGAGTTACAGCGTGGAGAGTTTCGAGAGTACGTTGAGTTCCAAGAACGACCGAACCGACTTGTGACCTGTTTTGCCGTGAAGCTGTCTTCACCGTTATAGTCTGAAGGTCTATGTTGCTGATTGTTTCAGCGTGTGTGTCGTAGTTTTTCGACGACTGTAAACGCGTTTTTGGAGCTGTCCTGAGTAATATCGGCTAATAAATTGTGTTTTCATTCTTCATCAAGTGTTGTCGTTAATCACTCCAAATCTACGAGCCTGTAGAAAGGCGACAATATATATAGTGTCAGAGAGTACTTTTTAAATTTTAAATTTGGGTTCATTGATGGGAAAACTTGAGATCAGTGAACGGGATATAGTATATCAAGTAATCATTTCCGAATTCAGGACAGAATCTATGTTAATTTTCAGCAATAAAAAAGTTACTGAAAAATTGCAACTTGATTAAGTTTGCAGTAATGACATTAAAGAGAGATTTGTTCTATCCATAACATCTATTCTTCCAATTCATAGTCAGATCTTTCCACGGAAGTTTCACCAGCGCAATAATTCGCAAATGTGATAGTTAAAAAAAGTTCAAGTCAAGTTTTTATCAGTAATTAAGACACAATAACTTTTGACTTACAGAATTGTGCTTATCCTGAAAATGAGAAATAAGCTTTCAAAACTGAAAGCCTGTAGACACTGGAAATTGGGGGAAAATTTACATACTGAAGTCACCAATTGCACTTTAGCCATTTGTAGGGATAAATACCGTAGCTTTTCATTCTTGATTTATAAAATATGCAGAAAGGAAGCAAGAATATATATATTAAATATATATATTAAAAATGATCTCAAAGAATCGAACTAGATTATCAGTTCTTTGAGGTAATTTTTTTATTCTTATATATTGGTAAATTGTGCGTTTATTAGTTTAAAAGTGACTGAATTATATCGTTCTTATGTTTCGATTAAGGTTTTATGGCTTTAGTTAATCTGCATGCAATAGTCGTAAAATTATTAACGATTTAAAAATTGTTAAAGTTATTATGAAGCCTAACGATTTACATTTGAAACTCTTCGTGGAATAAAGTCAGTTTCTGCACCCACTTTCAGTGCCTTTTATGCCGAGTGGGAACAAAAGTAAACTTTCAGTTTTGTGCATCGAAAAATCAGTCTTCCTGCCCCGCTGGTCGAATTGGATATTTTTGCGTAGAAACTCTAATTTTAATTGTAAAAAACTTTTTTATTTTTTTCAACTGTACTTGGTGTCTATGTGTTTTGGTATTTTACAATTTTTAATGAAGACGTTTTGAGTTTTTATGCGTTTTACCTTGCTAGTGTGAACCGGTTTAATTGAAAGAGAAATATATATCTAATGGGATTTGAGGAAATAAGATTAGATAAAATGCAGTAAAAAACGTGTATAATTTAATAGACCTTAGAAGGAAGTCATGTGTTGTCCACGTCAGATTTTTAATTTAATCACATACAGACGCTATTTTTTGGATTAATCTTATAAAGAAATGTTGTTGATTTATTTTGCAGTATGTAACATAGCTTATTGTGGAAAATAAGAAATCGTGTTTTAGTACTAATAAATGTCTTATCAAATGGAAATTTTTAAATCCTTCTCTAAAATCTTTAGTTTATTGTATTTCATAAGCAAATTTCATAAGCAAGTGTTTCTGTTTCAGGTACTCGTGAATCTGTCATCCAGTGTGTTCGAGATCATGATCAAGCAGTCGTGAAAGCGACACTATGCGATATCAGCGAGAAACCGGACGCCATTACTCAAACTTGTAATGATCATCCATGCCCACCGAGGTAAGTAGAATAATAATAATAATAATAATAAAATGAAAGGGTTCAAATTTTAACTGTCGCCCCAAAGAGTTTGCTAAGTTTTTGCTAAGTTTTTTTCTACCCTGTCGTTGATTTCGCAGTCTTAATAGTCTGATCCTGCACTCACTTCTCCTAACCTATTTTTTTTTGTCTTTTTAGCTTTATTATTAAGCATAATTTTCTTCACACTTACACCATACAGAATTCAACAGCAATATTGCAAAAATTTTAAAAGCAGCATAGCAGCATATCTTTACAATTCCCAAGGTAGTGTTAAGTTCTGCCATAGATTTTTATATACATTTTTTTCAGGCTTTTATCAGTTCATGAAGCTAGTATTCATTTTTCCTAACAAGATTGCTTTCTAAACTTTGTATGTTTTTTTATTAACGATTTGGGGAAAGTGCAGAATCACCCAGTACTTCGCACGTTTCTCAAAATTGCCCGCCAAAAAAGCGGGCGGTTATACATCAACTTGAAAATAACAAGTCAAAGAATTGCACAAACTCGGTATCCATGTACACATCGACCTATTTTAACTTTAAAAAACATCAGAGAATTGCAGAAACTTGGCATTGTGCGCGCTCACTTTGTCCATGTGCACATTGATATGCGCCATAAAAGTGGGCGATTCTGCACTTTACTGAACGTTTTTTTTTTTTTTTTTTTTTTTTTTTTTTTTTTTTTGTGTTAAATTTGTTAATTAAATATATATTCTTCACACTTACACAATATAAATTTCAAATAAATAGCAAATGACAAAATATTTAAAAACAGCATATATTTAGAATTTCGGATATGCTGTCTCGAGCGCCGGAGATAGATTTTTCATTCCGTACAGTGCTGCCACTGTTCACTTTGAAATCGTCGAGTTTGTTAATCAAAAATTAATTAAAATTTTATAAAATATAAAATGTAAAATTAGAAATTCAAAATACGTGTGGAAGGCTATGTTATTCATAATTGGATGGTCCTAGGTACTGTCGTTTTTTTCACAGTTTGTGGAACGTAATGTGGTTATCAAAATAATGGAAACATAATAATGGAAACGTAATAAATAATGGAAACATAATAATAATTAAACATAATAACATAATTCATGAGGAATTCTTTATTAATATGCCGTAGTAGCTGGGTAATATAAACAGTAACCTTTTAAAATCTTTAATTGCCACAAACAGAATAAAATGTTCGACCACACTGATCACAAATTTTCTTTATTCGAATTCGATGAGAAAAATTCAAGGAAGTAAAGTATTTCAATTGGTAAATGGATTTACGTACTTTAAATGACATTTTAAATATTTTTGCCAATAATATTTTGGTTTGAATTTTATGTATACTGTTTTTTTTGGGGGCTGGGATGCATATAAGTCAGTCTTGTTATTTTATTTGGGCATAAACGTTAGTACGTTCGTATATCCCATTCAAGAAATATTTTTATATTTCATTTAAAAACTAAATTTAGTAATTATTTTAAGCTGATTTTCTGTTTCTTCTTTTAAATTTTTGAATATTTTTTTCAGTTATCAGAGAATGGATTTTTCCAATTTCATGTAACTGAAGCAAAGTATGAATTGATCATTCTGTAATTTAGATTAAACCAACGGGTAAATTTAAATTCTAATTCCACCTAAAACTCGAAACGAAGCATTCCACTAATTCCACTAGAGAGATTCCATAAAGCCACCTTTATCCTGCGCAACAACAAATTTGCTGCGTATGTTATTTTCGAGCACAGCAGACCATCAGGAGTGTATACTAACTGCTAACTGGAGGCAAGAATATATAGGAAATGAATTGTATAATTGTCTTTTATTGCTTAAAAAGCCTTCTAAGAAATGTTTGATTATTTTCAGGTGGAATATTTCAGAGTTCAGTCCTTGTTCTAAGCCATGTGGGGCTGGGTACATGACACGTCGTGTTCATTGCGTGCATGAAGTTCTGAGAGGAGCAGCCAATACTCTTATCGTAAACAACAGCAACTGCCCACAGCCACCACCGAGAGATAAAGTATTTTGCAACGTTTTCAACTGCCCTTCACGCTGGAAAGCTGATCCTTGGACAAAGGTAAGAATACGAGATAGATCGTTGACATTGGGAATTGTAAATATCAAATAATTCAAATTATTAAAAAAGACTTCAGTCAAATATAAATTGCTTTGCCAGATAATGAAGTGCAGTCAAAGTTTCTGAGGATTTGAGAACTTTGTTTTCTTCCTGGAAGAGAAGTTTTTTAGAATATAAGTTGTTAGAGGAAAAATAGAGAGCATCTCTGAGAATTGAAACGTACAATTTTAATTGCGTTTGCTGAAAGCGAGAAATAAATATTAATAAATTCTTAAGTTTTAAATCAATTTAATTTAATTTGAGCGTAACTAATGCTGTGTAATTAATGTATTAGTATTAATTTAAGATGGTGTTGCAGATGTGTATGCTTGTATATGAAGTAAGATTAAGAAAATACTCTTAAAATGAAATTTAATTTCTTAAAGTGACCATCAATCGTTATAAGCTACTATTTACTTCGTCTGTGAAACTGGAGATGGTTCTAACTTAAACTATTCTGATCATTTTCCTTAGAAAAGCTAACTATAGGCAATGTTCAAAGTGATTATTTAATATGTTGTTAGAAATATGGTTACTTTTGGAGGCGGTCGCCATGAAATTCCTGTCTCATTGCATTTCATTTTCAAACTAAGCAAAAAGATGCACACAATATATTTTATCTTTATTATAACTAGAGGTCAGAGTTATAACGTTATTAGCGTTGTGCTGAAAGCTATGCGATGAGGAAAAAACTGAACATTTATTCGGTGTAAAGAAAAATAAAATATGGATATATAGCTGATGTATTATATATATATATAACAACATGTATATACGTAAAAAGAAATTTATATAAAGAAATATATATAATTCTTTTTTTAAATGTGTGCGCCATAATATTTACATGCAGTTTTACCTAACTTGCGCATTTATACTCAGCATTTCGTATTTTTAACAGTATCATAAGAGGGGAGAATTGTGCTAATTAATTTTTAAGGTCAATAACAGTTATTTCATAGGGATATAACAGCAGGAAAACCTGCAGTACTGACAGCTCCATGCCAATGATTATAATTCTTGAATCTGAAGTAATCATTTCACATAATGTTTTCCATTCTAATCAGAATAGATGCAGTTGTAGTGAAATATGCACCATTTGTGGCTGAATGTGATCATTACCATTGGTGATTTCGTTTAGACATAAACTTTTAAGGACAGCAAAATGAATCTGCTATTTTCATATATTAAAATCACCAGCAATAAAATTCTCTGATTTGAAATGGAAATAACGAAAGCAATAGCGATAAAATATCCGATTTTATTGCTCAAACGAGTGTGGTATTTGTTGTCATCTGTGCAAAACTGTCATGGCAATGTGTGCTGTTGTGTTAGAGAACGTAAACTGTGACACTTCAGATAAAGGCATATCCATGCAAATCCCGAGGAGACCCTTCCCAAAACATCTTACGTTTAACGCCGTAATATGCCTTAACCTACATTCTCATTTAAAACTCAGAAGTTTCGGTTTCTTCCTATGAAAGTAAGTTGAAACGATCGTCAAATGTAAGGCGTTAGCCATTTAAAAGCGCAGTCTTGAAGGAAATTACATTGATTGCTGTAACAAAACCCGAAGAGTTGCGCATGAGTGAGTGAGTGAGTGAGTGATTATGGTGCAAAAACCAAAGATGATTATAACGCGCCGAACACAAGATGGGATGATTACAATTGATGACATTAAAATTCAATAAATAAAAAACAAGTAGACAAATGTACCAAATCCAGAGGATGAAGTCATATAAAACAAGTTAAAAGCCACACATTAAAATTCAAGACACAGTCTTCAAAACAAATTACATTAGGTAATAAAAGCCAGTCTCTTTAAATAGTAAAATAAATTACAATTGACCTCTCTTCCGATAAACGGTCGAGAGGTAAGTCACAGCTATTAAATTATTTCTGGCGAAGACTATTAAAACATGGACACTCAATTAAATATGACGAGCAGATAAAAAAACATTACAATTAAAAAAAACAGGCTCATTTCAGCTTTGAGAAGATAGTTATGTGTGACTCTAGTGTGACCAATTCTGAGGCGAGTCAAAAGAACGTCCTCCTTACGATTTCCAGCAAAATCCCAATGCTCAATTCTAGGCTTGACGTTTCTCAACTTATTGTGATGCTGAACATCCCCAAATTTGCTGCCATTTTTTCGGACCTTTCCCTTGATGACACAGCAGATGTCTCTAAAAGGGATAAGGCGACTGGACGGTTCAACAGCAGACTTGGCTGCGATGTCTGCAAGCTCATTTCCCTTTATTCCAGAATGTCCAGGAACCCAGCAGTACAGGACTTCATATCCTCGAATCGTTAAACTTATATGAATTTTGAGAACATCCACTACCACAGGATTCTGAGTAGAGTTGCGCATGAAACCTTAAGGTTAGGCGTCAGGAGTGCACAGAGTGAAGTCAGGATTTTGTAATTTTTCCCTAATATAAAATAATGTTTCACCCTCAATGTCATGTTGTATGATCATTCTGTATTAAGGGACGTCCAGGCGGTATAGTGGTTAGGGAAGCCTACTGCGGTACCTAAGGGCAGAGTTCAAATCTCGGAGAAGGCATGGATATTTGTAAATGTACAGTGCTTTTGCCGCAGGGGGTCACCCTAAATATGGCGAGCTGAAATTTCTCTAGTGTAGTTTGGTGGTAGGGGAGAGGGGTAGGAGACCCTCGGACAACTCTCCGGGGTACGTCCAACCTCCTTGAGTCTCTGGCAACCATTTTTCCATGAAATTCACGAAACAAGGCGAAAGCAAGAACATACAGTAATATGACCTAATTATTTTAACTAGTAGTCACGTGCCGGTATTATGAGCAATAATAACAATTCTGCATTGGTGACCACAAAAGACACGCTATATTCCTTAAAATGTGTGCAAACAATAATGTCTGTTATGTATGTATTATTTGTATTATATTTCTAGTTCTCTATCAGAGAAATTGTTTTGCCTGTGCGATGTAAATTCGAGCAATTTTATCTTTAAAACGCACAGGAGAATGCATGATCCCCGAAGCAGATCGTCTTCGTCTGTTTTCACAATACATATGCATTTACATTTATTTGGCTTTCTTTTTAAAGTGTTTCAAGATGCGGTTACCATTAGCTGTTTTTCAACAGCTAGCCATTAACGTCTTTCTTTGCCTTTCTGTTTGCTCAAAGCTATCTTATATAAGTTTAAATAAAGAATGTTATGCGCCATTTGGCATATAATATTGCTTATCTTTTCACACAGTTTTATTTGACGTATAAATTTTTCCCATTTTATCCTCTGCGCAAACATTAAGTCTATATGGTTTTTTTGCGTAAAACGCAATAATAACAATAGTGTCCGCCGATAGTTTTGAATTTCAATTAGTATATTTATATTTGATTTTATGGTATGTTAGTAAAGTAAAAAAAAATTCTTATTCCTACATGAGTAAATGATTAAATCCTATTCGCTAGTAATTGTTTATATGAATAGGTGATACGTTTACTTTTATCTTTTTAATGAATAGTTGATACGTTTACTTTTATCTTTTTAATGAATAGTTGATACGTTTACTTTTATCTTTTTAATGACATTCCTAGTTGATTCGGAAACGTTTTTCATTATAGTGTTCTAAAAGTTGCGGTGGTGGAGAGAAGACTCGAAAGATTCGATGCATGAAGGAAATGAACTTCGGGCAGTTAGTCGAACTGGCTCCTTCAGCCTGCTCAAAACGTCGACCCCGGACATCGAAACCCTGCAACACGAAGCCTTGTCCCAGTGTAGACGATATCGTACCCTCTCATCAGAGCTATGTTCAGCAAAGCCCTCAGAGAAGGGTGTTCTTGAAGGTGGGAGGAACGGCCAAGATTTTTGCGGAGACAAACGTGAAAATTCGTTGTCCAAGTAAGAATGCCAACAAGACGAGTATATTGTGGTATAAAGATGACGAAAAGGTAACCAACTTCTTTTACAATTGCAGTTTTCTCATTTCCTTTATGTTAACTGGTATTCCTTGAAAAGTCATAGTTCACTTTTTCCATGTGCAAATGTCGAAATTATAGAGTGGCCTCACTTATAAGGCAACCTTTATTTTAAGTCCTTTACAAGAGGGAAAAGTGCTCGTATGCGAAGCAAACTGGTTATGGGAGCTTTAGATATACTGCATGTGTTTTAGAAGAAATAATAAATTATCTGATTGTAAAATAAAGCTCTCTATAGTTGTTTTCTTTTAACGCATAAACTAATGTTTTTAACGCTTAGCTACTTTTATAAGACTAGTATGGTTTTCAAAAAAGCATTCTAATAACAAAAACTTCATCTTATGCTTTGGGGCCAAGCATCTTTTAATATATTAGGTTTCAATAAATGATATTAAATATAGTATGTGCAAAGCATTACAATATTATTGTGGTCAATAAACTACAAAGTAAAGCAGTTTGTAATTTATACAAATTTCATTTTAATAAGTACGATTCCCGATCGTTAGCAAATGTCTGCAAAGTTTCCTTAAAAATATACTGGAGTCAAATGCAACTAAAAGAAATTCGTTTTTATATTTGTTACTAAAAATAAATCAGTGTAAATGAAAAATGACGTTAATAATTCTAAAAAATACTGATATTGTTCATTTATTGAAAATCGTAAGAAATTACGTAAATTTTGATGACTCGTTTTCTTAAGAGAAATTACTTACTTGCTCTTCATTGAAGATTTAACTATTTTACAGTTCTAGAAGATATTAGAAGTTATTATTGTACTGCCAAGAGCCAATAACAAATTCTAATAGATTTATATTTAATGTTTTACGTTTTAATTTTGTTTTTAGCTGTAAATCGCAGCTTAGTAAAATGTACTTTATTTTAATCTAAATTTTATATTCCTGTATTTGTAAATCAATTTGTAAATCAATTTCTAATTAATTAATTACTCGGTGGTAACTCGTTAACAGTAGTGCTGTGATAATTTACTTTTAAACCATTATGTAATAAATTGACAATTTAAGTAAGGTAGACGTTAAAGTATGATTATTTAAGATGAAAAGATGTCATAAAGATTAAAGCCTTACTGTCTTTAATCTTTATGTCTTTTCTGTCTTACCGAGCAATAGATAATAACGACATTTTGCTTGTAGGAACTTGACATTTTGAAGTTAGTTTTGCAGAATATGTAATCAAAAGATGAGTGCCATATCTATTAAAATAAATCTCAGTGTAGATGTTTTCGTGTAACTTAAAAACTAAGAGATTAATAGTAAAATGACTTAGTATATTGTTAAGTGTTACGCTGTGTACATTAACTTATGCAGTGCTGGGAAGCTTTCATAAGATGGCCCTCTACGTTCCAGACAGCTGTGTGGTCTGCTAGAGGTAAATACTATGTACCACGAAGAATGCTACAATCTGCGGTGTTCAATACTTAATTAATTATATTCTCTGGGAGTGCTGATCACTGTCAGATGTGTTAATTTTAGACATATGGTCAGTATAAAAGGTATTAATGCGGTTTCCAATATAAAAAAGGAATCATCTCGACGGACCATCCAGTGTCAAAAAGCTGTAAAGATGAGTAGCGGAAACTTCTTCTGGTTTCTGTTTCAAGAAAGAAATGCTGACGAATGTTATATTTTTACTATGTGTAACTTTTCTGAATTGTACTGTTGATTCCAGTGAATTAGAGCAGCCGTTAATCTGGGCGAAGTGTTAAATGCCAATCCATAAATTTGCAAGGGTGTTTATTACTGAGGCAGTATGTTACTTAGGAGAGATACCTAACAGATTGGAGAAACACACAATCGTTATTTGCTGTTTTTATATAATAATAGCATAAAATTGTAGAAGCAAATTTAAAATTAACGGCTTAGAAAAGCAAAAATAAAAACAGCCTTGCGAGTATTATTAACTATTAGACTGAAAGGAGCTCTTAAAGGAGAAGGGACAAATGTAAATTTCTAAGGCAGTTGTTACGGAATCGAAAAGAATAGGAAGTCGACAAAAATATGCCAAAAATCAGCTGGATGCAATAGTAAAAATTTTATGAAAATGAGAGTATGAACCAAGTAGTATCTTGTAGCCAAAGCCGTAGATTAATAATCAATCAGTTTAAATTTGTATTTGGGAGATCTGCTTTCAAGCTGTTGTAGAGTCGCAATGATAACAAAAGAAGTACCTCTCAGTGTACCTCGTGAAATGAAATTCCTGCTGGAATGTGATATTTATCCCTTAATTCATTTATTCTCTTCTGTTATTTATGCCATTTTAGACCATGCTTTCACAACTGAAACGGAAGAATTGTCACGCCTGTATATTCTACTTGGACTGAAGCAGCTGCTTTTGCTTTATTCAAGCAGTGTTAGAAATCAGCTTTATTTGCCACAATAAAAATATTTGTATATTTTTTATGTTTAATTTTAAATTCCATGCTGCTATTTTGAGTTTCCTAGAAGTCAAAGATTACTTTAAGATACTGTGGATGATTCTATTCTAGTCCCCCGCAATAATGGGAAAATCGCAATGAAACTAATGAAGCGAACAGGTTGATTTCCCAGTGCATGTATTTGCTTACATTGTATTATCGTGACTGAATCAGTTACAAATAGTTATAATTACGTTTGTTCTATTGCAGACTCTTTCTTCCTCCGTGAAAATATTATTACTGAGCAAACGTTTCAATAATGAATTTGTATAAATATTATATATTTAAAATATTAATCTGCATACATTTAAGTTACCAATAAAGTATTTTCTAACTTATGTTTAATTTATGCTAAATCTCATTTTATTTCTATTTCGTTTATGATAATTTCTATTGACAAATTTGCAAATTTAGTGAAGTTTGTCCCAAACTTCATTTTTACTGTAACATATCTCAACTGTCTTTGCATAGATCAAGCCTTCAAAGAGATTAAAAGTTTCAATGAAAGGAGCTCTACGCATAAGGAGGATATCCTTAAAAGACAGCGGAAAATATACATGTGTTTCCGGATATTCGAAAGCAGACATCTTCATTACAGTGAAGCCTCTCCCGCTCTTTCGCACAGGAACTGACGAAGAAAGGACAGTGGAGAATCTCCAACCTCCTACTATTGTCAAAGGTCAGAGTTTCAACTTGTATTTGTTCTCGGAAAGTTTCTGTAGCGATTCAGAGAGAATGCGCTAGACTTTAGTCATTTACATCGAACTAAACTATTCAGCGTTTGTCGTGAATGAAGGGAACAATGTTCTGTAACTCAGCGTTTCCCGATTTCACTTAACTGTTGCCACATTTGATTATGAAAATGCATATTAATGCAACGCATGACCTGTGATTTGGCATCATCTTGAAGTAAAACACGAATAGAATTTTTCATATGAACAAAATTACGTGACTGGTAATTTAGAAGAGAGTAAGTTATATATTTCTGTTTTGTTTGTTATATGATGTTTAGAACAAAAGAAAGAACCAGTTTCGGGAATTTAAAAATTAAGTAATTGCAAAATATTTCTAATAATTGAATGAATATTGTATCCATCTTTTACCAATTCGGTAATAAGTGTTATTTCAGAAATTATAGTAGTAATATTTCGAAAATCCTAAAAAATAAATAAATTACGAAGTCTGTGAGAAAAGTATTAAAAATGTTATTATAAGACTTTTATATAATGGCGACTTGCAAATATACACGGTGTCATCTCCAAAATAGTTGGTTAACTTTGAAGGTTACATGCTGTCGAAGGTGCGTCTGATAACTTTTGTCGTGTTGTTCATTCTTTGTGAATAGAGAATCCGTTCACTATGATTACGTTTTTGCCGCACCTTGTAAATAATGTAAAAGAAATAAATATTATTCACATCAGGAAGACATTCAATTTAGTTAAGATTTAATGCAGAGCAAAAATTGTAAATGATGCTAATGTCCCGGTCTTTCGGTAGATCACCGAAACTTGTCGAATTAATAGAACTTAAATCTTCTAAATTCCATTCCCCGAGCCTCTATGATTTTCAGCAGGATTTCACTTATTAATTTTTATTTGTATTAATCTACTATAGGCATTTGTAAATCTTTGTATGCAGATTTAATCAATGTTTAGTGAATTAATATTTGCATTTCATTTTGTTTTACAACGATACATGGCACATTCAAAGTTTATATACATCAAAGTATGTTATAAATTTTATTTTCATCCTATTTAAAATACTTTGATAAATAAATGCTTTCCAAAAAAAAGCGGAATTTTTTTTTCAGTATAAATATGTAAGAAAATTGCAAAATGAAATTAGCCAAGGAACATAAAATTTAGGATATTTAATTAAATATTGATAAACATTACATTAGAATAATAATAAAAAATAAGTGATTATACTTAAATCTTGTGTTTATTTGGATCACTTTTAGCGACATCGCCGAAGCAAAGAAAAGAATAGAAACATTTATAAGAGCTATGCATTTTTCAGTTTTCAGTGTGTTAGGTAACATAAATAAAATTATAACGAATGTTATACTTCAAATGGTATTGCATGCATGTAACTATACGTAACAATTTTTCAGGCCCCAAAGACAACGAAAGGACGTCGGAAGAAAAGTTCAACCGTGACCGCTACCGGCCGAATACTTCAACGGAGCCCAGGCACAAAGTCAACCAGCAACCGAGGGAAAATAGAGTCAACAGCGGGGAAGATACGGTTGAAGACACTCGTAGGGAATATCATTACAAGACAAACACAAATGACAATCAAAATAGCCACCAAGATTTGAGTACGTATCCCTAGATACGTTTTTACTAGTGTAAGAGAAAGCTACAATCTGTTATTTTAGACTTGGCACATTAGGCCATTTTCGCTTACCCGACTTGTCTTATAACCACAGTTGATTAATATTGTGTGGCCTCCCCTCATTCCACATTTGATTTCCGTTTAAAGTATTTTATTTAGAGAAAAACACGCGAATGAAGGCTGACTTGAATTAAATTCTCAAATTCTGGGAAAATATAAAGGGGTTATCACATCTAGCAGCACTCCCTGCTAGACGGGACTTTTGTGAAAGGGGTTATCACATCTAGCAGCAGTCCTTGCTAGACGGGACTTTTGTGAATAACGAGATTCTGGTAGCACTGTATTAAACGGGAAGATTCCTAGAAGAAGCAGTTCCGCTGGAAGCGAAGTCCCGTCTAGTTACAGAAACCATGTTCCGGCTACGCGGAATATTTTGTAACTTCGACGAAAATGTACCGTCTGCAGCTCTGTACCGCGCAGAGATCAATCAAACAATCAGACGAAAGTTCTGCTTCTAAGGGCTTACGCGATCCCAATCTGAGCGATAATCGATTACTGTATGGCGTTCAAGTCTTTGTAGTAAGTGAAAATAGTAACCTAACTACGTGGGTTTCCTGGAAATGTGGGGGTTCTGAGAATTGTCCCTTTCGACGTCCACTCTCGCGTAGCGGAAGCATGTAAGATAGCGACTTGGTGATGATGAGACGTTTTACGAAGGTAAATGCTGGAGGGTCAGAAATGCCTTGAATATTTTAGTTAATGATAGTTGATTCTCATTTCGTCTTTCACAGGCGTTCTAAAGAAATTTCTACTTTCAGTTTTCGGAGGAAAATCTTTAATCATCCCTTTAATGTATTATTCGTCCCATTTCCATCAAAATGCAATGCCAACATATTAAAAATAACCGCTTTAAAAATTCGTTTGCTTTTAATATTTTATTCTTTTTGTCATATATAATAAAGATTTGTTACCTTTCAACTTTTTGTATTCAAAATAAAGTAATCATTTTCTTATATTTGTCTTCTGCTTTTCAGATAATAAACCAAAACTATACTCAACAGAGGATTCTACGCTTGAGCTCAGCACACTAGATAGAGTACCTCTGTACATACAAGCTCAGCAAACAAACAAACCACCAGTAGCCCCAGTGCCTACATCTAAGACTGTAGATTCAGATGAACTTGTTCCATCAAGGTAAGCTTGAATGCCTTAAATCAAATCAGTGCCACTCATTAGCAAAGTGCTAGCCACCACCCCTGCTTTCCTCTATCTGTAACGGACCAACGTTTTGTCTCTGATTAAATTGCCAGTTATTTTATGTTTGGAATCTTTATTGTCACCTCTCTCTTTCCATGTCCCATCAGAATGCAAATTAGTTGGCTTGCATTTAAGTGAGTGTTTGAGAATATTAAGTCAGAACGTATTCTTTATATTGAAGGCCACTAAGTTTGCTATTTTAAGATAAGAGTCTCTGTTTCAGGTGTTGCTTTAAATTTACTGATAGTAAGATTTCACGCCGGTGAACTCCGAGCGAACTTCGTGATAAATTACTCTGTGCAGTCTTTGGTTATTAAATATTTAAATTTAGCTTTACGTTTATATTTTTACCTTCAGTTCTCGTCATAAATTCTGGCAAATTTGTAGGCACCAAGTGTGCCTTCTTTTCATCTATTTGAGTTTAAACCTTCTTAAGTGTCTGTACTTTTAGACTTAGCGATAAGTCGTTTTATCAAAGGTTTGGTCACTGTTTAAAGTTAGTAAAAACTTTGCACTTTACAAAGTAATTGGCTAATTCGCAATTTGCTGTTACAAAATCTGTTGCAAAAATATGTGGTCTCCGAGTATCATTTATCTGGATAGCATTTAAAGAAATTTTAGATTACAGTAATTTTTGCAATAATTACGATAATTAAAATTTGACAGTATTATTTTACGTATGGTAATAAAGTTAATATTAATAAGTTTTAACAAGATTTCATTTGGTGCAAAGACTGAAGTTATAAAAAGCAAGTAAAGAAACAAGGAAGAAAATGATGAACAGATAACAATATAGTAAGTAAATAAATGATAGACTTATTTAAAAAACTCATTAGAATTCCAGTTATCCGGATCCTTGTTGTCGAAAACTCCATTTATCCGGATTACTTGTCTTTTTCTTAAACCACGTAAAAAAAAAAAAAAAAAAAAAAAAAAAAAAAAAAAAAACCTTTGCTATTCATTTATTTGCTTTTTTATATTTTTTATTTAAATGACATAGAAGGTAATACATATATTTTAAAAAACTATTAAAATATTTGAAGAAATTCAAGACAAACTGTTTTGTGTGGAGAGAGTTCATTATTTAAAGGATGTACTGAGACTGAAATTGCGAGATTTGACGCCTAGACAATTATAAAACCACCGAGTTGAAGACCATGAGCTTTCAGGGTTTCATAAATAATGTATTCTGAATTAAAAAAATCTGATGTGAATGACAAATTAAAAAATGGGAAAATTAAAAAATCTGATTTTCTTTTCTTCTAGTCATCAGTGATAAAAGTTACATTCAGAGTTTTATAGAAACTTTTTAAAAGCTTATCGGTAACTCTCTGGTCTTCAGGAGACGATACTTTTCAGACAACAAAGTAAAGATGTAATTATTAATTCAATAGAGATCGAATATACGCGGAAAAAAAAGATACAATGGCGAACATAAGAGAAAAGATAGAAAGCTGTAGCAACAGTTGGCATTTTAATCCAAATTACATTTTATTATGAAAAAATCAAAATAATTGAATTGAATTCGAAATAATTTTAATTAAATAAGATACGAATGTTTAAAATTCTGTTTAGGTACACATTTTCTATGCAAGATCAGTATCTGTAGAGAAGGATAGGACCACCGACCGACACCTGACAACAATAAGTACATTTTAGTAGTACGTATTTAAAACGGAACGGCAATTTGGCATTGCTTGCTGTAATAACATTTTACACTGCGAAAAATCAGAGATAATCCCGGTGGTTGTAATTTATTACCAACCGTGCTATGTAGTGTGTATGTACAATAATGAAAACCTTATGTACTGTAAAATTTTACTTTTTTCGTCATAAACACTTTCAAAAGCGTTTTCAGTGACAGTGCTATATTTCACTTTAGAAACATTTTAGTATATAGATGACAAGAAATGATGTACGAATTTTGAGTGAAACGGAAGCCAACAGAATACTCAAGCAAAATCGAGTATCGCTAGAAGACAAGGTAAACTGAAAGAAATTGCTGCTTTTTTGATTTCCTCATCACTTGTCACTTGCGTCGTCTACTCGCTTTTATGATTATTATAAAATTAAATTAAATTTTATTCCTTTAACATTGTTATTACCTTTTTGTCTTAGATTTAATGATTTTCATTTCTTTTGTGTTTCAGATTTGTGCATAAAATACTTTTGCAAATTTTAATAAACAATCATCTATGGCCCAGTAACCATCGATAGACGCCCTTTATGAGTAAATTATATTCATAAACCTAGGTTTCATTGCAAATATCTCCCCAGTAATGAAATTATATAAATTTCATAGTGATTATGTAAACGTACAAGAAAACATTTAAATGAATTCGAAGAAAAAAATGTTCGAAAGAAAAGTTCGAAGAAAAAAATACTAACTGAAATAGATTTCGAATTTAAATAAAATTTTTAAGCGAAAACAAAATTTTCCCTTTGATGTAAGTCATAAGAGTATGTTTTGAACAATAAAGATAAATATTTACCGAACTGAAATTTTTTTCGATTGTTGGTCGATTAACACCACGAAGGCACGCATAAAGGAATGAGAAAATGCCTTATAACATATAGAAACTAAATTAGAAATTAACTTTTGATTATCTTGTATTTTATTGCATGTTTTTGAACTCTTCTTCTTTGTGTTTTTTTTCACTTTCACAGTTTCATGTCATAAACCATAAACGTATTTATATTTTGTGTGTATTTATGTAAAACTAAGCGTACATGACATTGTACTGTGATGAATTATTACTCTAAATAATACTCGTAAACTTGAAAGCATAAAGTGGAAAAAATAACTATAATTTAAGGGTGGCGAAATCATATATCTAACCATGGCTGGGCTCCAGCTAATTACAATGCATTATAAATCGCACTTAATGTTTCTAACTAGTGAGTCGCAAATTACAGCTAATTCGTTGGGGAACAACCTAGTGGAATTCTGTCTTTTCATATCATTTGCAGTAGTAAAACTTTAATTCAGATCTTTTCCGCTTTTAAGTTACCTTTGTCTACAGAAATTTACTTTCTGATATTTATTTATATCTCCGTAACTAAATGTTATGCCAGCTTCAAAAGGCTTAGTAATATTTATCAATCCAAATTTCTAGGGGTCAAACAGATCTTGATAAGAACCGTCCTAAACTGAAGACTAAACCTTACGGCACAACATCTGAAGAGAAATCTCCCAATCAAGTGATCTACGGAGAAACTTGGAAGCAAACTTACGACGGGTCTTTGAGGGCTAAAAACAAGCAGAAAGATGTGTGGAAAAATACTGATCTCTTCTCCGATCAAGAAGAATTAAACGTCGGCACTCCTCACGGTGGGAAAGGATTCCCGGGTGAATATAACTTATTATTTTCAATTTCATTTTTCAAAACTATTATCATTTCACGATGGTTCAGTATACGACATTTCAAACTTACACCATTTCGGAAATTGGGCCAAAACGGTGAAAGATAATTATAAAAATTATATGAAAATATAAAATTTAAGTTTTGTGAGCAAATTCCAGCACTAGACCGTAATCGCAGTAACTATTAATAGCAATATTTAGCATTGTTTCATCTGCTTTTGGTTAATCTTCTTATATGGTAGTTACTATGCGGTAGACACTATCTGTGACTGATAAAGAATTGGTAAATGGTATACGTGAATAGAAATAGATATTAATTCTTTCGAGTTCTTAGAAGAAGAAAGAAAAAGTGACTAAGTATACTTAATTTCCACTTCAGAAAGTCCGGATATCATTTTATATTTTTTTTAATCTACAGTCACTTTTTTATCAGTAGATGATCCTCAGCAAGGACTTTTATCACTGGGATTTTATCACTGGTCACAAGAACTTTTATCACACCATAGCCCATCTTGATGGCCACCACCGGATTAATCAGCGGGCCGGGCGTGCAGCTCTCCAGAGCGCTAATCTGCGCCAAATGAGTTAAAATAAACAAGTTGTTTACTGTCGTTAATACTATATCAAAAGGCTCAAGAGATGTGGGTACAAACATTTCTTCGTCTGGTACCGTTGGCGCTGTAGCGTATTCTTCTTAACAGTTAGATTTGAACTAAACTATATCCTAGATTTGAATTAAACTGTATCTTGTTCCTTCTAGCTACAGTCATAGTATTCGCTAAAACCAGAAAAGTATTCAAATTTTATGGCATTAAGTAATAAAACGTTAGTCTTAACTGGAAGACTGTTAGAGCTTTCACTACATTGCCGCTATATCTGAGTGAGTAAATTTTCTTGCTGTATGCAAGAGTGACTATTTTGTTTTCCATTGGTGGACACTTAGCTGACTTACGCTTGGCCGGTACTAAGGCCGGAAATGGTGGCCATTTTATTGTAGAAGTATCTAATAGTTGGGACTTCTTTAAACTCCAATGAAGGTACGAACAATTACAGTCATGCGTTCTTTCGGATTCGAAGCCGGGCTCTTCGGTATTCCAGTAGGCTTCCTTATAGACTATACCGTCCGAGCGGAAAAATGGCTACTGTAGTCAATCGCTATGCATTGGTAAGTATTTACAAATTTGGCAATAGTGTAGCAAACCAGATCCTACAAATTTCACCATATTTTTTCCTGTTGCGAATATTTTATAGCACTTCGAATGAAAGCGGCAATAGAAGAATAATGAAGCCTGCAATGCATCATTTTGTACGATGATGTAAACTGCCATGGTGAGAATCGTCAACGTCATGCTTCAGATGAACTAGCAGAAATGCAGAAACCTATTCATGTATTAGTTCATTTTTATTCCAAACCATTAAGTTGTAGAGACATTAGGTATTTTTTTAAGCAGGAATGATGAAAAATGAGCATTACTTTCGCCGGGAATGGAATCACGGACCTCTGAAATACGCTCCCAGCGTATGATATACTTGTAGAAATGGGAAAGAAATGACTTGTAGCATGCAGACCACTACACTACGAAGACATACTAAGAAGGCGGGGAAAATACCTTATAAAGTTATCAAATGAAATATAAAAAAAGGCCTCTTCTTTGGTCGCATTTTCTTTTTGCAAAAAGTAAAAGTACAACCGGGTACCCAAAATACACTGAGCTTTTTGAGCAATTGCATTATTACTGCTCTTAATTCTGTTAACCTTCTTCAAAGTAGCTTTCATCAGCATAGACACTATTTCCAGCCTTTTCCCGTTTCGCATGGAAACTGTTCTGGAGCTATTGACACAGAACATTATGAAAGGCAAGAAACGTATTTTCTTATAATTTATCCGTCCCCGTTACTGGCTTTATTTTTTGGGGGAAGGGAGGTAGATGGAATTGTTTTTTAAGAGTTTTCTTTATCTGCGGAAATACAAAAAAAAAAAAAAAAAGTCTCTTTGAATAATAAGATTTGGTGACAACGTGTCTCAGACAGAAGCAGTATGTTGATTTTCCTCAAGAATTGTCTGATGTGAGATTCTCTTCAAAAATCTAGCGAATAATCTATCAATAATCTTCATGGCTAGTCTATTGTAATTTCTCAAAGTTTTACCCATTTCAGTGGAAGTCCAGGTCATAGCAGTGTTCATCTGGGATGTTGACAATTTTAATTTGGAAAGTCACTCTCACAGTTAAGATTTACGAAAAACATCCTCTTTTAAGATTTTAGAAGCATAACGATTGTCGCGGCCTCAGTTTTTCTCAACAAAAAATAAAATTTCAAAATCATACCAACACATTTCTTCTTTGGTTACACATTACAAAACTGGCAGGCCGTTACAAACAAGGAAATAGAAATCAGAATCGAGGAGGAGTCGCTCTACTCAGAATGATGCCACACGGCAAATAACAATTAAACTGAAAAGGCTTAGTGATACCATCCGTTATTACAAAATAATCGTTTGCAGTGTTGTCATTCTGGTTATTTTTGAGTACTCCTACATATACGAATAACCACAGACTAGTAGCTGTTACTAACAGATTCTTGAAAGCTCATCTTCCCGTTATAAAATAGCCTAACTTAGAAACAAAACATCTCCTTTTGGGATTTTATGTCATATGCATTCCGTCTGTAACTGTCTGCGTTAATAAAGTCATTACTTTTCAAATATAAATAACAGTGTAATCTAAGTTTCTTTTAATATTTGTTGCGACGTGTTCATTGCAGTGGCGTGGCAAGGGGCTCGTACGTTCCCTGGAGCAGCATCCAGGTAATGCCAAACTGATGTTACAAAATTTTAGTATGAAATATTTTCTATTCTTGGTAAACTGGAGGGGGCGGTAAATCATTGACTTTCCCGGGACGCTGAAATCTCTAAATACAGATCTGGCTCAGTGTATAAAGAATCGTTTATTGTTATTAAAGAAATCATGTTAATTGACGACAAATTATTCAATGAAGGCTTGTGACTCAATTAAAAATGGGAGGTCTGTAATTCAGTAATCGCTAAAATTATATATTAGACCGTAGAAAATTAGGGATGTACTGGCCTTCTGACAGACAAGTAACGTTATTTTTTTTATTCAGAGCTTTTCTAAGAGTCTACACCAGTACTCCGCAACCTTTTCTCACCTGCGACGTACAAAAAATCTTTCTGGAATTTCGTGGCACACCAAAAGCTAATGTATATATGTATTGATTTATACACAAAATTTACAATAAATTTTTGTTTTTAATTTGAAAAATATACAATTATAAAAACATTACATATTTATTTATATGCAATCATAATAATTATCAATGTGATACCTGCGCTTGCTTCAATGAACACAAAAGTTTTATATTCGGCTCAATATCTGACAACGCAATCAAGTAATTTTTGTATACCATTTGTTGTTATTACTGACTGCGAAATTTAAAAAAAAAATTAAAAAACAAAAATTCTTCAATTTGATTGGTTTATTTCAAATTAAAAAAAAAAAACAGTTTTAGAGCTATTATTTTTAATTAAAATGGTCCGAAACCAATATATTTCGTTTAAATTTATGTTTAAACAAAAGTTATATATTTTTGAGTTCCGAGTTATCAAGGAAGTGCCGAAAAAATTCAAATGCTGACACACTTACAATCACACACACAACAGTGAAATATATAAAAACATTTAAAATAGACATTATTAAGGAAAAAAATTGTCATTGTGTATTAAATACATGATAAAAAATTGCAAAATGTCAAATACATGTATTTGATTGCGGCACACCTATATCCTACTCATGGCACACCAGTGTGCCGCGGCACACCGGTTGCGGAGCACAATAAAATACGAGTAATGCCATCTCTTGTTTTGAATGAAACGACATGCGATTTCATTAAGTTTGATTATTCGTATACAAATGAATTCTTTTCCTATTCCCTTCTTTAGTCAGTTGTTTTAATTTTTATCTTTCTGTGCAGTTCCTTAATTCTTATCTTTCCTCCTGTTCCTGTCATTTGTAAAATTCTTGTTGATTTCAGTTAGTCCGCTTTAGAAGACAGTATAATGTGCAAATGTCTTTTTGCATATTATACTGTCTTGTAATGAAGAGTCCTTAAATTAGGAAATATATTAATGCAATCATTAATTATTTATTTTTACACAAAAAAGATATTCTTGCACCAAAAACCTTCTAAAGTTCAAATTTTATTCAAGGTTCTAATGGTAAAAGATATTAAAAATTAATTAACCATGAAACGATTTCTTGGAAGATGAGGCATAGCGAGATAGTATTACCTTTTGAAATATGTTCTGCTTTAATTTTTTAATTTAGATGAACCAGCTCATTCCGGTGCCGCGAGTACTCATGGTGTCTCCCACATCGAGGTCTTTCTGCGGAATTTGCCATCATTTGGGACAACTAAAGCCTCTTACTTCGATCCCGATAAGGATTCAGATGAAGAGGAAGTTGAAGAGGACTATAAGCTTCCCGATCCAACTGAAATGGTAACCAACAGCTTCGTTCTAGGCAAAGGCAAACCAGAGCATGTGAAGTTTGATTGGTTTATTACAGAGTGGTCACCATGCACAAAGTCGTGTGGTGGTCATGGATATCAGGTAAATAATTTGCTCCTTTCGCATGTAGTTAAAGCTCACACAGCGAATACTTTTGTTATTTCATTCGTTGAGGTATAATTTACCTAATTAACAGATAAATACTTAATACATTTCATTAGTGAAAAATTTAAAAAAGCCTATGAAAAATATATTATTTCGAAAATTCGTATTCCACCTTGCCCAAAACATTTAAAACGTATGTAAGGTGTATTTTAATTTTATAACAGTTATTTTAATTTAGATAACATTTCCTGTCGTTCCTTGTTTGAACTTAAAACTTACAACTTCCTATCAGAATGAATTTTTAGAGTCGCGTTGAATGAAAATGAGTAAGAAGTAGTATTTAAGGATGGTTCTATCATCTCATGTATTCATGTTCTATGACTTGGATTCTATGACTTGATTTCTATTTCTTGACATATTTCTCGTAGAAATTATGCTTTATTCTGATAATTTGTGATAGAAATGTTTTTATCGTTCCAAAACAAACAAATTTAACTATTTTTAGACATGGCCCCGTTAATCCGCAATCCGATCATTTCTGTCCCAGTTAATCGGGATATAATTGTATATATGAATTAGGATAACAATTATTCGTGTATTTTCAACAAAGTGGTATATGGAAAATTACCAAAAGACTGTAATGTACTTGTTGCTTTCGTTTTAGGTACGAACATCTCAATGTTTAGTGCGTTTGGACAACGTTTCGAAAGCTGTTGATAGCAGTTTCTGTGAAGACGCGAAATTAATAACTCCAAAGAATGTCCAGAGTTGTGGAGACGAGGATTGCCCACACTGGGAAACATCACCTTGGTCTCAGGTATAATAAATTACATGATTATAAGTCTCATATGCATTTCATCGTGATTGCTAAGTCATTGAACATCCATAACTTTATAATAAATCTTCTTTTGTGCCAAATGAGTTGGTTTTCTAGCTTTTGGCGTTGCTCTTTTTTATGTCTAAAGTAAATATGAACTAAATCACATGGAAGCCATATATGAGAGATATCAACTTAGAAACACAGCTACATAAAACTTTATTGCATTTAGACGTATAACGTTTGTAATGGCAGAGATTTTACGAATTCCGTCAGATGCTAAATTCATAATAAATAAATTACTTAATTGATTCCGGATCTGATTACATTGGAATAGTAAGTGATCTCGTTACATTTTTTCATATGTATTTTAAACGCTTAGTATGTTTACCTTTGCTAATATGGCAGACTTTTGTGCTTAGTTAGGAGGATTTCATTGAATGCAGTGAAAAGTTGTCTGATGCGACAGTTGAATGAAAACATTGATGATTACTTCTTACCAGGATGGATGGGACTATCGGGTCAGGAAATTTCCCGAGACTCCGGTGGTTACCTGATGTCGATATATTTTAAAACGAATGAATCGTTATTTTTAATATTAGTATTTATGCTGCAGAAAACAGTAAACTTATTGGAAGAAAAAGCTATAAAACACTGATAACAAAACAAAGCACACACACACAAGAGATAAACTAAAGGCAAAAGTACGAAACTCATCGTCTTAACCGTGTCTCGTTACTTGTCTCGAATTCATCACTACTGGACCTCATTGCTTACTCCGTAGCATAAATTTTCATGTCCAGCCTCACTCTCGATTTCATAAGGATACCTTGTCATAAAAATGCTGACACTTTTATCAAGTCGGCGAGTGTTCGCGAAGATAAGAACCTCCTGTAAGCTTCCTGGTGTCGTGATGGAGGTTGCAGCTTTAATGACATAAACTGAATTAAGTGTACCAGGTACCTCTGTTGTTTAGGTTAGATCGTCCATGCGTCTTTGCGAAAAACGGCTATTTTGCGAAAAGATGCTGGTACTTTTTTTTTTTTTTTTTTTTTTTTTTTGCAAGTTGAACGCACCAGTCAGACGAACCTCATCCACCCCTGATTCTTTCAACAAGCTAATTATCCGATAATCTCATAGATCATTATTAAGTTCTGCAACATCTCAATCAAAATCTGCCTCCGAGACAGAGATCATAAAGTATCTCGTAAAAGTATTTACCACAGAAGTGCGAATGCGTTAAGAAATGGAGGCTATTATGGTAGCCTTAATCTCTGGATTTAATTCCATGCCGCTATTTCGTCTTTGGATTTATGTCCCCACTCCTCGCTGATTTCCAGAATATTCGCAAAATGTGGTTTGGGTCGATCCGTATCAATAAAGGTTAATATGTAGAGACATTAGGTATTTTTTGGAAGCAGGAGAAATGAAAAATTAGCAACCCTTTCGCCGGGAATCGAACCACGGACCTCTGGAATACGCGCCCAGCGTGCAGACCACCACACCACGAAGGCGTGCCAAGAAGGCGGAACTTAGCGAGTTTGCCTCTATTTCAGTGTTATAAAATTTTAATTTATCGCGTCCCCTATTAGTTATGAATTCTTAAGATGTTTGTTAAGATATTTAAAAAGATTTACTTTGTGGTCCCTGTGGAGTCGCAGCATTATATTTTAATATGGTTACTAAGGAATTATAATATCTCAGAAAATTTATGAGAATTAATACTGTAATGTATTTTTTTCCTTTTTACCGTATGCCTTCATGGTGTAATTGGAAGGACGTCCGGCTAACAATCGGGAGGTTCGGAATTCGAATCCCGGCGAGGGCATTCCATATTTTTCATAATTACTGCATGGAAAAATCCAATAACTTTACAATGAAAAATATGTATTTAGATAACACTTGCAAATTCATTATAGAAACACATTAAGAATAATGCTCTTACGGAGCTAAGCCCTTTATTAGCAATTCTTAGGGGTCCTAGAAGAATTTATGTAAAGTTCTATTTAGTAATGCTGTTTAATTCTTTTGTCACCGTGTTTCGAACAGAAGGACATCTTCAAAATGACAACCTTTTAAGATGTGTTTTATTTGAGGAAAAACTAAATAATATCTTTAATGAAAGTTTTAAAATATATCGACATCAGGCAAAAGATCAGGAGAATTTGAAAAAAGCTTCAAGACTTTGCCAGCTAGGTGTTCTTTGACGATGATGTCTGTACAGCTTGCAATGTGGACATGAAGTGTGCAACGTTTTTTTTGTCTTCCCTAACTTTGTTCTTACCTTCCTAATGTACGGTGTCGACGCTTTCAGTAAGATTTTGTTAATAAGTTTTCCTACGAGCATGGTTCTGTATAATGCCTTTTAGTCAGAACAAGTGATTAGGCTTTTGTGCTTTCTTCTCTGCAGGGATCAAAGATATACTCCAATCGACACTCTTAACGATGACATCCGACCTAATGTCTTCTAGAAAAACCGGGTTTGAAGTCACACCGACCTAACTTTTTATGGTTATCAATGAAGTCGGCTCGCATTACAGTTATGCATTACAATGCGCGCCAACGAACACAGCTCGCGTAGCAAATTTACGACAGATATTGCGCATATTTAAGGAAAAAGAATTGCTTCGCCGAAGAAACGAAAAGTTACACGGTAAAAGAAGGGTGACACGTGTATACTGAGCAAAAAAAAAAGGGAGGGACAGTTCTATATCTCCCGTTCTACTGGGCAAATTGACAAAATTCAAATTGCGTTTTTCATATCTCGAAAGCGCGATTTGGAATTTATATTAGATTTATATATAGCATTGTTCTAACATAGGTATTTTGACACAAAATCGGACTTTATCTGAAATTACATACCATTTTTTTTTCATATTTCGATTCTACGACTCAAATTATGCCTGGATATTAAGTTTTGTAAAATTTGGTGCGAAATTTACGGAGAAATTCAGAAATTTATCTTGGCGAAATTTTTCCAGTTTGGCCAAGAATAATTCACTTGGCGAGTTTCCTAATATATGGCAACCAATTTTCCTTTCCCTTCCATTATGCTGGAGCGAAAAAAAGGGCACCTCGTTCCTACCTTTTTACATTGTGTATGAGCGGAATGTAAGTCACTCGTTTCTACTTCCAAATAATTTTAGCAAAATGTTTAAACCACATCTGATGTTTTATCGCTGTCAACAAATATGCCAAATTTCAAAACGCGCCAATATATAAATACACGTATATCTTCGAAAATTTTGAATAAAAAACTGCAATTTTTTGCAGGTATGCTTAGAACTACGTCTACTTTAAGATGATGGAAAAACTTTTATAGATTATAAAACAAAATTCTTTTTGAAAAATTTATAAAAATTATTTAAAAATACAAATTTTAAAAGTAACTCATAAAATATGTGTGAATTTTATTTAGAATGAATTTATTGAATTTCGAAATGTGAAAGGAAGAATCAAATACGATTAATAAAAAGAGAGAATAATAAATATATACCTAACTCAATTAACATTTGGAAGCTGAAATTTTGAGAGCTAATTTTTCAAAAACTACTCGTGCGAGTTTTACAAAACTTGGTAATTCGGCGTAATTTGAGTCGTAGCATCGAAATATTATGGAATATTATGGAATGTGCATAATATGGAAAAAAATTAGTATGTTATTTCAGAAAAAGTCCGATTTTCTGTCAAAATATCTCTATCAGGACAATGTTATATATAAATGTAATACATATCCGAAGTCGCGCTTTCGAGACAAAAACGCAATTTTAATTTTGTCAATCGGCCTAGTAGAACTGTCCCATTTTTTTTTTTTTTTCGCAGTGTACATGACCATAGTTGTTTCATACATTTCTTATCACATGTTGCACTTATAGTTCTTCGAACGGTACATTATTTTGACATATAATATCTGTACATGATTTACATATCGATATTTTATAAACAATTTTGACATATATACGCATAATTTTTACATTGATATTTAACATACTGAAGCATACAGAGTCAGCAGAATCCATAGTAATCTGTATCCATAGTAATAGTTCCTCCAGTCACGAGCTGCTTTTTCAGGAAACGGGAAATGTTAACTCTCTTATAACAGCAGTCGGGCAGTTTGTTTTGCGTAATTTTTTTAGAATTGATTTGTTGCGCGTTATATCCTTTTGTCTAACCTGACGAATTTTTTGGCGCTGGTTTCTTATGCCGACTCGATCATTTGTTGGTAGTGGAATACGTAGTGGTCTGGGTCTCCTGTTTGGCCACAGTTATACAGGTTTGTTGACTTAGACCGAATACCTGAAGACAGATCATGAAAGAGCCATGGCATTTTATAATCCAGGTGATAGAAAATATGCAGGTGATGAAGTTGAATGAACTTAAAGGTTCGTCTCCTTGTGGAGTCGGAAGTTCCATTAATGTTACCATTGCTTAATCAGGTCTTTTTAAATGTACTTTTTAAATATTGAAGCCAGAAATAGTACTACAGTAAGTAGGTAAAAGTAAGTAGAATTGGGTTAGAGGTACCTCTGGAATTTCCAGGCCCATGGCAGCTGCTTTTGCTTTTAATCTGCCATTTCGCTACTGTCTATGGTGTTGTCTGCTCGAAGAAATAGGGTGGCAGGTCCACGACAGTCTGTTTTAATTTGTCAGGTGATTAAATTTTGTGTATGATCTCGCATTATCGGGATGAAATGCAGTTCCAGTACGATTAATGAGCTGTGGTATTTTCTGGAAGATGGATTCCATGAAACTATCCAGTTGGCAGCACGCATTCAAAATGATTTATTGGCTTGTTGGTAGTAAACTGGAAACAAGACCACACCCAAGTGTTATCACTGACAAAAATTGTTGGAATTTTTGGATGAAAAGTATTGTCACGCGTAACATACTTACCTGAACTTGTGCCCTCACTTGGTTCGCCCTTTTCAAAATGTTTTTCATTGAATAATATTCAATTCTGATGAGGCCGTAAATCAGCACCTTGTTCAGCTTTTCGTCGATAAAGCTAGGTTCTTTTGTGAATGAGGGTGAGTGAGTGAGTGGGGTTTTTGGCGCAAAACCAAAAGTGATTATGACGCGCCAAACACAAGGTGAGATGATCCAAATTTATGAAATTAAAATACAATAAATAAAAACAAGTGGACAAATGTACCAAATCCAGAGGATGCAGTCTCATAAAAACAAGGTAAAAGCGCACATTAAAATCCAAGACACAATCCTCAAAACAAATTAAATTAGGTAGTAAAAGCCAGTCTCTTTTAAATAATAAAATAAATTACAATTAGCCTCTCTTCCGATTAAACGGTCGAGAGGTAAGTCACAGCTATTAAAATGTTTCTGACGAAGACTATTAAAATATGGACACTCAATTAAAATATGACGGACAGATAAACAAACATTACAATTTAAACAAACAGGCTCATTCTCAGCATTTAAAAGGTAATTATGTGTCACACTAGTGTGACCAATTCTGAGCGAGTCAAAAGAACTTCCTCCTTACGATTTCCAGCAAAATCACAATGCTCGATTCTGGGCTTTACATGTCTTAACTTGTTTTGAAGCTGAACATCCCAAAGTTGCTGCCATTTTTTTCGGATCTTTTCTTTCACAACACAACAGATGTCTCCAAAAGGGATGAGGCGACTGGACAATTCAACAGCACATTTCGCTGTGATATCTGCCAGCTCATTCCCTTTTATGTGAATGAGGAATTACGAAGCTTGTTAAAAGAAATTAAGAATTTATCAAACAAAATAGGCAATATGCCATTGACTGGTCTTTTTTTTTTTTTTTTTTTTTTTTTTTTTTTTTTTGTTTGTAAGTAAAGGACATTCGGAGAACACAGAAAAAATTTATCACTACTTTTCAGATAACTTAATACATGTGCTGAAGTCTTTTTTAATCCGTACAAATTATCCACCGTGTTGACCAGGATGGGGATTCGTACAAATGCAGACCATATTGGAAATGGTGTTCGTTAACATTCTCTCTCGTCTGGCAGTAATGTATTTGACAGCTTTTCGAATAACGCAACAAATCTTTTCCAGGAGAGGTAAGTAATGGGAAAGTGTGAATTTGTTTTTCGTTACATGAGTTTCCAAATTTTTCTTACAGTGTCTGGAATCGCAGTGCTTCCAGTGGCACACAGCTTACGAAAAGCGCTCCGTATTTTGCCGTGCGGCCAACGGGACAGACCTTCCGCTTTCTCTTTGCGACGAGAAGACGCGACCGAGGCGGAAAAGAGAATGCTATAACAGTAACTGCAGAAGTGTATGGAAAGTCGGTGAATGGTCCGAGGTAAGAATACCTGTTAAATAACTTATTTTTTGCATAAAATTTTAGTAATTTTTTCCCATCAGTTTCTTGAAATAGATCTCCTTTGTGTGAAAATAATATATCATTTTTATTGCCAGAGCACACATATAAGCAAGCACAAATATATTTTAATAATATTCAAATGACTAAAAGTTCACAAAAATTACTCCACTCGTAAAGTTAAAAAAAAAAATGAAGTCTAGGTTGTTTCAAGATAAGATTGAAGTGTGCTATCTGATTAAAAAAATGCAATATCTGATTTTATGTATAAATCTTTTGTATGACATTCAAATTGTACCCATTTATATTACCATGGGCTTAAAAACATAATGAGCTGCGTTTCACTTTAAAGTTGAAATTCGATGTATAAATGGTGGAATTTTTTCAAAAAACTGGATACGTTCAGTGGCGGTTTAAAATCTTGACTTGCAACATTGATAGTACGAGATGAGAATGTTTTATAATCTTCCTACATATTCATATATCTTTAACTCTTAGCAAACCGAAGTCTTCGCTAACCTGAACGCTTAAAATACCGAAACGTCTGTCCCCATCCATTACCGATTTCGTCCGTTTCCTTCTCTCCCCGTCCATTAACGCATAAAGAGGTGTGACGATTTCAGATGACATCCTTTTTACTTCCTAACAAAGAAGCCTGCATAAAGCTGTCTGCCATAAACTCGTACAATGCATTTGGGGAAACTGCACCTGCTACTGCATACCTTAGGAGAAGGGAAGAAAACAACAACATCGCAATCTCAACGGTTTCAGGCGTTTGTAGTCGTTTGAATGAAAGGCCGCCTGGGGCGTTTTGGCCTTCATAATGTTAAATCCGGTATAAAACTTTACAATACTCTACGAAGTACCTATTATTTTACATAATATCTCAAGAGTTTATTTATATTTTAGGTAAGGGAATAAAGATTTCAATGACTGAAATCAATTCGATAGTCCATAGAAATAAATGTCTGGCGATAAGGTACAAGAGATGCACAAACTCAGTCTGTAGATACGAATATTACTTCTATAGCTTCCATACTAGCATAGATTTTTTGTCCGTTAGCCTTTAGACATAATTAAGTTTAAATGCATGTAAATTTAATATAGGAATGGTTCAAGTATATAGTTGATTGCTGTTACATGTAGATAGTTTCATGGGCATGGATATTTTCTGATTTGTTGTTCTGAATACCTCTTTGATACCATATTGCACCTGATCGGGAATTTGACGCTGCCTCTCTTTCTTATTCATTGTTGTCATTGTATTATAACCAGCCAACAACATGATTATAACATGATAAGTCTAGTGAAACATGATTAGTCTACTGAATGATTAGCCAGTGAATAACATGATTAGTCTGTTATTTATCTGCTATTGAAAAGATTTATTAAAAATGATCACTATATTGATGACCTTTCAGCTCCTTCTACTTTCTCCTTCGACTTCTACTTTTTATTAAGTGGCATGAGGGAATGAATGCAAGTTATTAAATAACTACGATAATATTTCTGTGTATTAGAGTCGCAATTATCTTAAAAATAAGAATTTAAAGCGAAAATTTAATTTTGACGAAAACGCTAGTGATTTATAATTCAACGATAATTATTGGACTTTTTAAAGTTATCTTTTTAAAACTAAGTATTTTTTTCCATAAGTGGAACCACTTTTAGAACATAAGTTGCTAATATCGGGCATTAAGGTATCACGATGCAAATTTCTCCGAAATATTTTACGAAATTTAGAGGATTTTCGGAGATTTCGCGAACGTCAGATTTTTCTTCGATTGTCAAATAAATTTAAGAATTTCGGATATTTTCCCTGATATATTCTAATATTCATTATAATGACTCGATGTCTCTCACATTCAAATAATTGAAAATTTTTTATTAAGAATTATTCTATTTTGACTTTTCTAAAGCATTATTCTGTGAAATATACTATGAAGATAAAATAACTATGAAGATAAATAGAATTATGAAGATAAATTAGCCGAACACAGTTTTAAAGAATGTGTCATTCAGCAGAATTAATTATTAATTTTGAAAACAACGAGTGAAAAATCTAGTTTTATTAAAACATTTTAATAAGCAATTTTCCTCATGAGCTGAATTATTGTATTTCATTAAAAATAGTACAGGTAAGTAGATCATTCATAAGTCTAAAACAAAGAAAATTTTGCTTATTTCATAATACATGTTCTTTATTTGGGTATATATGTATATGTTACCAGCAAAATATTAAATCCGGTATTCTGCAGAATACCTAGGCATTTTTCGAATGCTGAAACTGGCTGGCAATGTATGAGACGATTAAACATTTCACACATTGCGTAGGCATGACAAACCAGCAAAGTAGGAAACACATCTCCATATTGTATACAATGCCTAAGGAAGGTATATAATAATTCGTGCAATTGTAGAGTCATTAGGTTATTCTGAAGCAGGAAGACATGAAAAAAGTGCAATGCCCTCGTCAGGACTCGAACCTGGACCTCTCGAATACACGCCAAGTGCGCTACTGTTAACACCACGAAGGCATGCAGAAAGAAAATAACTTACACAATAGGCGTGGCCTGTTATGATCATAAGACCAACTTGTTTGGTTAGGTGGGTCAGGCTGCACCCACTTCTGGTACCTTATACAATATATTAGTAGTTGTAATGAGTGTGGCAGAGAATAGAATCTACCTATTTGGAACTTCTGAAAGAATTTTAAAACTACTACGTACGAGATCATTGTTCATTTTATGTGTTAAGAACTTTCTTAGAAATGAAGATATTCATGGCCACAAATACCTCTCTGGTCAGTTGCAGTTGCTCAGTCCATTGGAAGTGGCCACAGATTCGTCAAGTATTTGTTTAAAACAAAGTGTCGAAATATGAAATGTCTGTGTGTAAAAGAAGTAATGAACTGAATTCAAAATGTTGTCAAGCTGTGTGTAAAACAAAGTGCTGAAATATGAAATGTCTTTGTGTAAATTAATAAGTAATGAAGTAAATTCAAAATATAATTCAAGTCTGCCATGTTTCAACAAATACGTTAATTTTCTTATTTTTTGTATTAAAATTTTGTTTTCTTTAACAAGAAAAGCATTTTGTTTCTTATATTATTTTATATTAGTATTATGAATATATAGTATATATTTACTATCTATATATATATAGTATATATTCCTGAATATAGTATATATTTACTATATATATATATAGTATATATTACTGAATATCGTATTATTACTTATACTATTATTTAGTATTATGAATAATTTTTAATAGCATTCTTTTATTTGTAGAATTATTAGGTTATTTTGAAGCAGGAGATAAGAAAAGTGAACAACGCACTCGCCGGGACTCGAACCTATACGCCTCGAATAATTGATGGTGCTACCGTTACACCACGAAGGCATGCTGGAAAGAAAGAAAAAAATACCTTATATACTCCCCCTTTTAAAGGGGGACTGCGGATTAGGGAACTCAGTCGCCAAATCCTGATCGTGACGAATTATTGTCCACTACCTTTTAGTTCGGGCGCTACTGTAGAGTCATTAGGTTATTTTGAAACAGGACATATGAAAAATGTGCAATACCCTCCCTAGGGCTCCATCTGGACCTTTCTAATACGCGCCGAGTGTGCTAGCGTTACACCACGAAGGCATGCTGGAAGGAAAGAGAAAATACCTTAGACATTATTTTTTTCAAATTAACATTTGCAGTTTTGAAGAATAAACGTCTTTTAAATAATAGCCTTATCATGACCCTTTTTTCATACTTTGCCTAAAGCATTTGTCATGGCAATTGCCTAAAGCATTTTGTAAGAGCATTTGTCATTCTATAGTATGCTTAGGTAAAGAAGATAACAATTCTCATATTTCATACTTTGCCTAAAAACAACAAGCGCACTATAAAATGCTTGGGTATTCTACAGAATTCTTTTCACACTTTGCTGGTAGCATATATGTATATCTAGAAAAGTAATTAAAAATAAATCATGGTATATAACTCTGAAAATGATTATGTGTATATTGCTTAATTTCTCATTTTTTGTTAACGTATAAATATATATTTTTCATTAGTTATTTTGCCTACTCTTTGACACTAAAAAATTATCAGTTATTATCTTTTATGTAATATCTAATGATTATTGTGTTAAATTTTGTATCAATTTTCTCTTATCTCAGTTTTGTTTTCAAGTTTTTCCTTCGATTGTTTTTAATTAATGCCTTTCTCTTAGATATTTAATCACTTTTGGTTTATATTAATTCAATATGTTATACCTCTTTCTTGATTAATTAATTTTGCAGCATTTTGAGCAGCATTAATAATATTTATTAATTAAATGTTTCTCAATTTTTTATCTTTATGTTTTTCATTACAAATTTATTTCATTTCATTTCCCTGCTTTGTGGAAAATAAATGCTGTTGTGTTTTTCAATACATTTTGTGCAAAATTTAATTGATTTTTGTACTTTATTTATGTAGAAATATATTCATAAAATCTGTTAAAAATGCTATAGTGACTGATAATATAATTTGTCTAATATATTGTTTCATAGTTTCAATTATATTTATCATGTTAATGTTTTCAGAATGTATGTTTACTCACTATTTCGTGTTGAGAATATGTTTCTGTTGTTTTATGAGCTAAATTGCATGTCTCCCCATTTTTGTTTTCATCCTGTTTTATCATAGTTTCCTTTTATGTATACCTCCACCTGTTTTCACTTAATTTGCCTCACATCGCTTGATGCTATTTTGAAGCATGCTTAATGGTAAGCATGTAGTTCCAAAGATTAAGAAATTTAAAATAAGTTGTGAATTTTAGATACAGATTTGGGTCAAGTGGTTTGTATCTGAATTTTCAATTGAAAGATAAGCTAGATCATTAAAATCTATTTTTAAAGCAATTTGTAATTGTTAGATTAATTTTTCATTGTCCAAACAAATTTTGCTTTGTTTTGATTTAATTTTTCATTGTCCAAAAA